AGGTGGCGCTGCAGCTCCTCCCGAAGTTCGTTCACCTTCAGACGGCGCACATCCATGGCCCGGGCCCCCGGGGTGGCCCCCGAGCCCGGCCCGGCCTCCCAGGGCTCTGTCCCCCTTAAACCTTTACTGTCAGGAGGCGAGGGGGAAAGGGGGGGGCTCACTCCAATGGCGGCGGCAACTCAAAATGGCCGCCGCCACCTCCCCCTCCTCCCTGGCTCCATGCTGTGCAACACGGGTGCCAATTGGCCACCGCATTGGGAGCAACGGGCGCGGGCCCGAGACTCGGCCAATCAGAAAGTGCCTTTCAAAAGCTGGTCGATGAAAGAGCGCAGGAGCTGCCGGGGAGGAAGCGTTGGCTTACGTCGATTCAGCGGCCCCAGTGGAGGGCGGGAAGAGGCGGGAGGCGGAGCGCACGGTGATTGGGTAGCGACCCTGCACTCGCTCCCGTAGGGTCGAATGAGGTAAAGGGAGTAAGAATTTAGGCCAATCAGCGATGAGATCTCAGAATGAGCGCGCCTCACAGCCTTTCCTGCGCAGCCCCAGCATTAAAGTAGTGTCTCTGTAACACATATCCTGATTGGTCTAAATCTCCCGCCCCTAGAGGAGTCCAAGCGGGTAAACTCACTAGAACCAATGAAGTGGAGGGTCAACAGACACCCCCTCTTTCACGATTGCCTTTAAGAAACCGGAAAGAGATGAATTCACGAGGGACTCGCCCCTTGCCGTTAGGGCGGTTTCAAAACAATCTGTCCACCAATCGCAATTATTGTCTTATCTCACCAAAGCTCGTACAGTTGGGTCGCTTTAGGAAAAACTAACCAGATTGGCTATTCTTCAGCGGATAGCCTCACAAATTTCACTGTGGAGGGAGGTATATGAGCTAGTGATTAAGTAAATAAGTTATTCTTTTTTTGTTTTTAAAGCTTTTATTGATTTCAGAGAGGAAGGGAGAGGGAGAGAAAGACACATCAACGATGAGAAAGAATCATTGATCGGCTGCTTCCTGCACGACCCACACGGGCTCGAGGGGGCAACCCGGGCATGTGCCCTGAGCGGGAACCCAACCATGATTTCCTGGTTCATAGGTAGATGCTCACCCACTGAGTCACTCCGGCTGGGCTAGATAAGTTATTCTTGATCTGGAAATACTAGTTGACTTCAGTGAATCCTGAAGGTTTGATAATAGAGGCTAGTAGACTAACAGCGTGAGAAAAGTTGTAAAGGAAATCGCACCCTCTCCCCTTGAAAGTAAATCTCAGGGCGCCTCCTGCCACGATTATAGCTTCGCTGCCATCTTCCTCTATGGTTGGTATTCCTATGGGTGCTCTGCATGCGACCATAGAGCCATCCCCCCGCCCCCCCCCCTCCCCCGCCCAAGGCCTCCAGAAGTTCTCGGGTCTCTACCCCAAATCCTTTAAATTGCTGTTCAGTATATCTGGCTGTTTGGCGTCTGTACTGACAAGTCAAACACACAGGTCGGTGGTAGCTAAGCCTGTGTGTTTGAGCTAAATATGAGCGCCAGTTTCACAGTATCTAACCCTGCACCACCTGTCGCCTGGAACTGAACGGACACAAAACTTCTGTAAGATATACAACTGAGATACACATGTAAACGCCGGCTGCCCACTGAGCCTTACCTTAAACCCACAAAAGCCACACACAACCCCTATGTAGACAAAGGCACACACAACACAGATAAACATGTGACGGTGAGATCAGATCACATGCATCAATTCAAGGGACAATACATCAAACTGCAGTGTAGATATGCCCGCTAAGATCCGCACCGGCAGGAGGCGCCAAATGATAAAGGCACGGGGTATATTACAACACAAGCTTACACTACAGCAACCTAGACACACAGCACCCACTCAGAAGCCGGACAGACACTCACGTGGGCCCGGAGGTTCCAATCCAGACACCCCGCCCCTGGCCAACGTAACGTCTGACTTCCTCTCTCCTCCCAGCTTCCCACAGATTTATCCTAAAAAAGTTTGTGGCCCAGATTGAACTGTTGTCAGTGTCCAGGAGCTGCCACCGGGGGGCGTCCGGGCGCTGCCAAGGGCTCCTCCATTTGCGGTGGGACACACCCAGGAACTTGTGTCCGCCCTGCATGCAAAACACAGTGTGGGCTTGTCTCGGCAGGAGTTCCTTTGTGGGCTGGAGATTATTGGCGATATCCTGTGCCTGTGTTGCTATGTGAATCTGAATGTTTGGGTCTGTGAGTACCTGTTGTACTCTATGTCTCTGTGTAACTGTACTCTTTGTGTTACTTTAGTTTCTTCCTAATGTTGGTGAGTATCTGCCTGTGCATCATGTTTGTTTGTATCTATAATTTTGTCTCTGTTGCTCTATGTGTCTGAATTTCAGTATCTCTGTATTTGTGACCAGGTGTATGCCCATTAATAGGTGTCTCTATGTGACCCTGTATTTATGTGCCTATTCCTCAGTAGGGGTTTTGGAGAGTCTGCTTTTCTTTGTGTGACTTTTTGTCTATGTGCATGTTCATTTCTATCTTCTTTAAAAGATCTCTCCTGGATCCCATCAAACCCTTCTTTTTATGACGGGGAAACTGAGTTCCAGAGAGACCACACGATTGTGGAGAGAGACAAGAGAAAGAAGTGTGGTTACAAAGTTTTATGTGATATAAGCCCCTTTGGAGGTGTCAGAGTCCACACTCTGTACAGGGGGATATGAGGGACTGGCTCAGGGTGCGGGCAGCATGGCCCAAAAGGAGGAAGATTGTCCCCTGGGGAAAGGAGGCCTCCCTAATGCATTGCACAGGCTTGAGGGGGGAAAACCCCACATGAGGGGAGGAGGAAGCAGAGGTGGCTCGGGAGGGTCACATGGAAGAATACTATAAAGTTAGAACCTTGGAACCTTGGAGTTCAAGACCTGTAGACCTTTAAAACCTTACATTTGAATTTTAGAACTGCAGTGCCTAGAATCTTAAGATTTAGAATCATGGATTCTTGGACCCTTAACTAAAATCCTAGAAAGGCAGAATGCAACATAGAGCCTAAAGGTGTCCAACATTAGAAATTATTAGAACTTTGGTATCTAGTTAATCACAACTAACTGTAGAGTCTTATACCTTTGATGCTGAGGACCCAGAATCTTGGACCAATAGAATCTAGAGTGCCTTGGAATACAGAACTTAATATTAGAATCTTAGATTTTAATAATCTAGGACCTTGAAACATATGATCTTGAATCTTAGACACAGAGAATCTAGGTTCTTAGACTAAGTCTTAGAACATCACATCTGAGAACATTAGACTTTAGAACCTCCATCTGTAGATTCTTAGAACTTTTGAATTGCAGAATCTAGAATCTTAGACCTTTAGGATCCAGAATCTCATAACAAGAGCTTCAAGGATCATAAAGCCTTAGAAACTCTAATTGACCATCATTAGAATCTTATTTTTTTTTAATTTTTTTAAAAAATTAATTTCAGAGAGGAAGGGAAAGGGAGAGAGAGATAGAAACATCAATGATAAGTGGATCATCGATCGGCTGCCTCCTGTACGCCCCACACTGGGGATCGAGCCCGCAACCCGAGCATGTGCCCTTGACCGGAATCGAACCTGGGACCCTTCAGTCCGCAGGCCGACGCTCTATCCACTGAGCCAAACCAGCTAGGGCATCATCATTAGAATCTTAGAACTTGAAAGGATAAAATCTTGAAGCCCTTATGCTCTAGACGCAGCGGTTCTCAACCCGTGGGTCGCGAACAATGAAAATACATCCTGCATATCAGATATTTACATTACGATTCATAACAGTGGCAAAATTACAGTTATGAAGTAGCAATGAAAACAATTTTATGGTTGGGGGTCACCACAACATGAGGAACTGTATTAAAGGGTCGTGGTATTAGGAAGGTTGAGAACCACTGCTAGAGTAGACTCTAGAGTCAGCCAGGGGATTTATACTCTAAGAGGCTTAGAACATCAAATTTTAGAACATTAGGCCTTAAAACCTCTATGTCTAGAATTATAGAATTCTAGAACCTAGAGTCTTATACCCTAAGGAAAATGAAATCTAGCATCATTGAGTCTTAGTTCCTATGCCTAGAATCATAGAACTTTAGAACCCCAAAACTTACAGATTTTATCAAGAATCTTAAAAACAGGAAAATCTAGGGCCGTAGAATCTCAGAACTTTCAAATATAGACCTTAGAGCATTCATGTCTAGAACCTTAGCACTTTAAAATTAGATAATTTGGAATTTCAGGTCCTTAGAACCTAAGGCTCATAACGTCTTTGAAACCCAGAACCTAGGCTCTTTAAACCTTAGAATCCAAAATCTTGGAATGTTAGACTTAGGAGGAAGCTTAGGGATTGCAGTCCAACCCCTTCCTTTTACACACGGGGACACAAAGATGTGGAAAGTGAGAGGATTTGTGTGAGATGGAAGTGGAATTGGTAGGAAGAGAGAGCTGCAGTTGTGAGTAAGGTCTGGAATGGGAACGTAGGTGGCAGTGCCTAGCTTGGGTCCTGAGAGGAAGTCCCAGGCAGAGGGTTGTCTCAGGCTCCATCCTCCTGCCCTGGTGGTGCTGGGGAGCCCCTGTCAGCAGGTAGGGTGGGGCCAGGGGCTGTAGAAGGGCAGAGGACATAGCGCCCAGCAGGATGGACCTCAGCCGCGGTGAGGCAGCTGCAGGAATCCTTAGGATCAGGCTGGGTTGGGGGGTCAGCTCCTCCAGCAGCTCCAAGTGGTTCAGCATGACTCCCACCCTCATCCATGTTGACATAGAGGATTTCATCAGGCTCCTGGGCAGGTGGCAGGGTCTTTAGTGTGTTCTCCAGATCTTCCCGTAGCTGTGAAAAACTTGGCCGGTCCTGGGGGTTTAGCTCCCAGCACTGGGACATCAGGGCATACCTAGGACAGCAGAGTGAGCGGTGAGAGACTGAGCAGGGACTTAGAAGGGGAACATTCTGAGAGTTAGGGGGAAATTAAGGACACTAAGGGGACCAAGGACATTTCATGGGGCTGGAGGGAACTATTACAGTTGGGGGTATCTATGGGGACTGAAGACTTCTCAAGAGTTTCTGAAGGATTTCTGGGACACTTGGGAGCTGAAAAAGGTATTGGAAAACCTCTCTACGTATGGGATGGTATTCTAGTGATAGTTTGCTACAGCAGAGCTTTCCAGTGTGGCTCCCCAGAACAGACTGGCATCAAAGACTTGCAAGCTGTGTTGATTTAAAATATGTGCTCAAATTCTTTGACATTCTTCTTTTCCCCAAAAGATAGAACCTAATTTCCCTCCCCTTCAATGTGGACTGGACTTCTTGACTTGATTCTGACTTACAGCTGTGATGTTGTGTGTGACTTCTGAGACTAGCCTGTAAAAGGCATTGTGGTTTCCTCCTTGCTCTTTCCCATAGGATGCTCATCTGGGTGAGGCCAGCCACCATGTTGTGAGGAAGCTCAAGCAGCACTATGGCAGGGTCTTCATAGAAAAGAACTAAGGCCTCCTGCCATAGCCATGTGATTGAGCTACCTTGAAAACAATCTTCTAGTCCCAATCATCAGATGGCTGCAACCCCATCTTGATAGCAACCTCATTAGAAACCCTGACTCAGAATCACCCTGAATCTTGGCTGTAACCTCATTAGAAATCTTAATCCAGAATCACCTGCCAAGCTGTTCTCAGACTTTGACCTTCAGAAACTGAAGGCAATAAATGCTTCTTAATTTGAGCTACTGGATTTAGGGGTATGGGTAACTAATACACTAGCTATGCAGCCTTTGGCAAGTGATTTACCATCTCTGGGCTCCAGTTTCTTCTCCTGCAAATAGGAATAATAATACTTCATGTGGCCATTTTAAGGACCAAATGAGTTAATATATGCAAAGCGCCTAAAACAGTGCCTTTGAGTAAGTTCTATAGAAACACTAGCTATTATTCTTGCTCCCCTCAGCTTCTGGACACCCAAGGAGGACCTGGGGAGCCTGCAGGCCCAGCAACATCATGCTGGATAAATGTTCTGCTCTCTGGGTGTCAACAGGCGACAAAGTTTGATAAGCGCCGTCCTAAAGAAGCCTGAGAGCATCTCAGAGGAGGCTTGAGGGTTTGGGGAAGCTCGATATAACAACCTGAAGGATTTTACAGAGGGTCCTGGGGGTTGAAGAGCATCTGGTGAAAGCGTGGGTGCTCAGGAGTCTGGGATGGATTAGAATTCTTTGAGAGTGGGGGAGTCTCAGAGGCAGAGCCCCCAGGTAAGATTGTGTAGTTATTCACTGCTCATGGATAACTGGCTGAAGAGGCTGATCCAGCCTGCACTCCATGCACAAGGCAAAGGAGGAAAGGACACCTTTTGCTAATTCACACCCCTGTGGAGCAGTGGTGAGGAGGGCAGGTGGCCTCCTCAACAGTCTGAGGGATTCTGTACAGGGTCCTGGATATGTTTTGGAGTGAAATCTGGGACTAAGTGGAGATGGTGGGAGGGGGACCTAAGGGTCCTCACAGTCCATCCAGACAGTCCACAGGCTGCTTCAGGCGGTTTCCCTGACGCAGGTAGTCGTAAATCTCGCTGTTCTCCACTCCTGGATATGGGGTTTGGCCCCGAGTGGCAATTTCCCACATTGTCACCCCGAAGGACCACTGTGGAGGGCAGAGGGGAGAGAATTAGAGTGTTTCTCCTGCACAAAGACACCCCTGAACACACATTTATGTACACATGTGCACATAGCTATCTTTGTGGGTGCATCACAGCTATTCACAGGACCACTTTGGCACAGGTACACCCTCATAGAGGTAACTTTTGTGCACACAGACATGCTCACCCATGCACACATTTACACACTTAATGGACACATGGTCTCATGTGTCACCCTCCACAGCCTGCCTATACACATGTATACATACTTACCACCACCTCTTATAGCCTTAACTGTCTATATGTCCCATGTAGAACCTGCCACCATGCACACATGGACCTGTCCACATCCCTAGCATGTCCACAACACTGTTCATAGTCACCCACCATAACTCAGACATGAGTAGCCCACGTGGACAGGTCCCTGTGAGCCCAGGTGCAGTGTGAGATGACCAGGCCACACCCTCCTGTTGTACCCACTCCTATCAGAGGTGCACATACCACATCACTCTTGCTGGTGTAGACGCGGTCAGCCAGGCTCTCAATGGCGATCCACTTGACTGGCATTTTGGCAATACGTCCCTGGCGGTAGTAGTCCCCATTGTAGATCTTTTTGGAGAGCCCAAAGTCCGCCACACACACGGACATGTTCTCATTCAGCCTGCCAGGATTGGGGAGAGGAACAGGGTCATGACATGGGTTCTCCACCAGGAAGCCTACTCTCACTCTCAGACATCTCTATCTCCACCCTGGCTGTCCTGCTTGGGATTAGGGCCTGTCTCTCCTCCTTGCCCCAGATTTGGAAGGAACTGTGTTACTTCTTGTTTCCTCCATAAAATGAGGGCGGGACAAAAAGCTACTGAGGGCCTTCCCAGCTCTGGCTTTTTGCCAGATTCTAAAGTCCTTCCTAAGCTCCTTGAGTTTGATTATCTGTTTTAAAAACAAAACAAAACAAAACTGTTTTCTTGATGTATAATATATATGCACAAATCTGAATTTTCACAAACACACCCATGGAATCAGCGCACAGATTAAAGAAACAGAATATTATGGGACACCCATACAAGGGATATTATACAGAAAACAACAAAAAAAAGAACAAACCACTGAAACACACACACACACACACACACACACACACACACACACACACACACACTATGGACCAATCTCAAAAACATCATGCTGAGCGAAAGAAGCCAGACACCAAGGAGTACAAACTGCATGGTCTCATTTGTGTGACATATAAGGATAAGGGACAGCAGAGCAGTGAGGGGAGGAGGATTTCAAGATGGTGACTATAGTACTGGCTGTGGCTGTGGTGATGACCTAGCCCTGGGTCAGCAGAGTTGAAGGTGGTGGTGTTTGCTCTCCCGAGGGGCCATCAGGAGCTCAGCGGGGACCGAGCCTAGGCAGTTGGTGGTGGTGCCAGCACCTTTCGGCTTCTGGGACAGCTGCGGTGGCAGCGGCGTTCAGGTTCTAAATGGTTTCTAAGTTGAGTGCAGATTTTCATGGGACTTTCAGTTGCTTTGATGATGTCCCATTTAAGATCGGAGACAAATTCAAAACACCAGCTAAAGTTGGTCTACCTATTGGCTTCTCCTTGCCTGATTGTTTGCAGGTTGTCAGAGAAGTACAGTATGACTTCTCCTTGGAAAATGAAACCATTGAGTGGGCTGAAGATATTAAGAAAATCCAAGACCCAGCGGGAAGCAGAGGGTAAGGTTGAGGAAGCAGAAGCTAAAGTGAATTCTAAGAGTGGCCCAGAAGGCGATATCAAAATGAGCCTCCCAAGACTCACAGCACAGCCACAGTGCCACTTCCTATTAACCCCATCCTTGCCACCTTCAGCACAACAGCATCCTCACCCCTACTCGGGTCAGCAGCAGTGCCACGAAACAGAAAGTTCTCAGCTCACCCCACACAAAGGCAGATTTCAATCCTGTTGACTTTGAGTATGAAGAAGACCCATTTGATAATCTCGAGTTAAAAATTATTGATGAGAAGGAAGAGCTGAGAAACATTCTGGTAGGAACCACTGGCTGTTATTGGACAGTAACTTGCTTAGAGGAGGCTCTGGGTCTGTATTACAGGCATCCCTGGAGCAGGCAACACTAGATTTCAAGCCTCTTCATAAACCCAATGGCTTTATAACCTTACCACAGTTGGGCAACTGTGAAAAGATGTCACTGTCTTCCAAAGTGTCCCTCCCCCCCATTCCTGCAATAAGCAATATCAAATCCCTGTCCTTCCCCAAACTTAACTCTGATTACAGCAATCAGAAGACAGCCAAGCTAGCAAGCACTTTCCTAACACATTCTGGCTCCGAAATGGCACGTTCCAGAATTCCCTAAAACCTTCCACCCAAAGCAGTGCCAGTGAGCTCAATGGGCATCAAAATCTTGGGCTTTCAGCTTTGAACTTAGACAGTGGCACAGAGGTGCCAAACCTGACCCTTTCTGATATGATTTCCCAGATGCCTTCCCTCTCTGTCTTGTCTGTGTGTACAGAAGAATCGTCACCTCCAAATATAAGTCCCATGGTCACACCTCCTAATCTCTCAATGTCACAAGTGCCCAACACTCCCAGCTGTCCCCAGTCTTATTCTGACCTGCAGACGCTGTCCCCTGTGAGCAGTAGTGTGTGGAGACAGTGGTCAACATGGGCTACTCATATGAGTATGTCCTGAGAGCCATGAAGAGGAAAGGAGAGAAATCTGAGCAGATTCTTGACTATCTTTGTATACAGACAGCTCTGTGGGAAGGGCTTCGACCCTCTTTTAGTGGAAGAGGCTCTGGAAATACACCAATATTCAGAGGACAATATGATGGAGTTCCTTCAATTAATTAGCAAATTTAAGGAAATGGTTTTGAACTGAAAGACATTAAGGAAGTTATGCTTTTACATAACAATGACCAGGGTAATACTTTGGAAGACTGCATGGCTCAGGCTGAAGCCAGCTGAGACGAGGCCCTGCTTAAGCTCTTCACCTGCGGGGAAGGAGAAGGGGCACAAGTCCAGATTTTCCTTTGGGGATGGAGGGTCAGTGTGCTTGCCAGTCTCTATGAGTCTAGGCCAGCCGTGGGCAAACTACGGCCCGCGAGCCGGATCCGGCCCGATTGAAATGAATAAAACTAAAAAAAAAAAAAGACCGTACCCTTTTATGTAATGATGTTTACTTTGAATTTATATTAGTTCACACAAATACTCCATCCATGCTTTTGTTCCGGCCCTCCGGTCCAGTTTAAGAACCCATTGTGGCCCTCGAGTCAAAAAGTTTGCCCACCCCTGGTCTAGGCCCTGAGCTGGGGAGAAGGTGGGGAAGATTTGGGCATGTGAATGCCCTTAAAACAGTCCTGGTTCCTTCCATATTAAATGTATTTGTATTTTGAGAAGTGTCCTTCCCACCTCGGCCCTCCAGAGAGGCCCTGGGTTCAATTCCAGTCAAGGGCACTTGCCTGGGTGTGGGCTCGATCCCCAGTAGGGGGTGTGCAGGAGGCAGCTGATCAATGATTCTCTCTCATTGTTGATGTTTCTATCTCCCTCTCTCTTACTCTCTGAAATCAATAAAAATATATTTAAAATAAAAATGAAAAAGTTGATATTGAAAAATAATAAATTAAAAATAAAAATAAATAAATAAATAAGAGAGACTACAGGGGCATAACAATCAAATGCAATGTGGGAACCTTGAATAGGTCCTGTTTTAGAGGGAAAAATAGCCCTAAAGATATTTCGGAAGACAATTGGAAGAATTTGAATATGGATTGGATATTAGATTATGTACGAAATTATTGATAATCTTCTTAGATGTGATAACAGAATTACTGTTTTTACTTAGGCATAATTCCTTATTCTTAGAAAATACCTACTGAAGATTTAGGGTGAAGGGTCACCATCTTGGCAACTTACTTTCAAATGGTTGAGGGGAGAGAGAAAAAGAGAATAGAGGAAAATGGCAAAATCTCAACAAGGAGGGTATATAGGTGTTCATTATACAAGTCTTTCAACTTTTCTGTAGGATTGAAATTTTTCAAAATAAAAAGTGTTGGGGGGAATAAAATATTTTCTATATTTCTGAGAGTTGTGAACATTTACACATTTTATAACAGATACTCTGATTCTTCAGCTCCAATTTCTATGAGTCCAACATTGTAATGAGACTAATATTCTAAGCCTGTATTTACACACACACACACACACACATACACACACACACACACACACAGTCCATTAATGGGGGGAGGGGTCTAGTCTCCTTATCCAATTTGGCCCCTCCCCAAGGGCAGCCCCAGACAAGACACTCAGCATAGAGAGGGAGAGAAATGAGGCTTAAATGTCACCACCCTCATCGGTCACCTCTGCCCCTTTGCTCACTCATGCTGCCCACTGAGCCCACCCTCTTGCCTCTTCTCTCTCCACATTCAAATACTCCTTTAAGATTTCAGTTCATGGCCCATCACCTCTAGGAAGCCTTCCCCAATCCCCTTGCTGACCTCTCTATCCCAGTCCTGAATTCTGACCTGTGCAAAGGGTATGTGTGTGTGTGTGCCTAGCCCCCTCTTTCATCCTGAGAAGGAGGAAAGGAGCTCCCTATAGGGTTTAGGGCAGCTGTGGCAAACTACGGCCCACGGGCCGGATCCGGCCCATTTGAAATGAATAAAACTAAAAAAAAAAAGACCGTACCCTTTTATGTAATGATGTTTACTTTGAATTTATATTAGTTCACACAAATACTCCATCCATGCTTTTGTTCCGGCCCTCCGGTCCAGTTTAAGAACCCATTGTGGCCCTCGAGTCAACAAGTTTGCCCACCCCTGGTTTAGGGTGTCCCTGGAAGACTCAACACTCACATGCAGTTCCTGGCGGCCAGGTCCCGATGTATGAATCTCTTGGTACTCAAATACTCCATGCCACTGGCAATGTCTGCCATAAACTTCACCAGCATCTGAGTGGGCAGGAACTAGGGGACCAGGGCAGGAGAGAGGTCAGTTGAGTTCCTGAGACCCATCCCTCCTTCCTTCCCCCTTTCCTTCCTGTGTGTGCCTAGCTCTGCCCTGCAATGGTTTCCCATGGCTACAAGAATTAAATCTAACCCTTTCTAACAAGGCCCTATATAATCCCATTCTGCCTTCCTCTGTGACTTAATCTCCTACTGTTCTTGCCCTCGACATACACTCCTTCCAGGGGCCTCCTTTCTAGTCTTCAAACAAGCCATGCTTGTTCCCACCTCAAGCCTTTGCCCATCTTCCCTTCAGGATTGCTTCCTCCCAGATCTCTCCACCTCCCACCGGCTGGCTCCTCTGCTTAGTGAGACCTCCTTGTCTATCCAAACTAATTGCCTGGCCTCCTCTCATTCCTCTTACTCTATAATTCCTTCCTAGTACTCAAATCATCATGCCTATTTATTTGTTAACTTGTTTATTGTTGTCCCCCCACTGGCAGACAGTTCCATGAGAGCCAGTTCTTGGTCACCATGGTCTTCCCAGTGTCTGAGTAGCACCAGGTACCTGGTAGGTGCTCAAGTAATACTTGTAGATTATTAAAACTTGTAGATGATTATATGCCCTCACCACTGGCTGGTCCCCGAGTCGAGAATAGAGAAGGAAGCTGTGTAGATCTCCATGTTTCATGAAAGGTAAGATGACCACAGGTGCAGGGAAGCCATCTAGTTCGGAACCCTGGAAACAGACGCCTGAGTCCCCCAGGCAACCCTGTCACTCCAGCTGGACAGAAAGGGAAGCCACCCCCTCTCCCAGCTCAGTCTGTCCCTCTCCCTCAAATCTGGCCTCCAAATTGTTTTAGGGGTGGCAAGGACCAAGTTTCAGAGAAGACATTTCCAGCACTGTTCCCAAGGATGTTTCCCCAGTCCTCCTGGGGACCTCAGCTATTTCTGGGAAAGGTCACAGGTCACATTCCAAGCTGAGGGAGAGAAGGAGGGGGCAGTTTGCTGGCTCTGAGGGAGGGGGAAACAAGGGAGCTTGGAGCTTTGATCTTCCCAGTGCCAGAGGGATCTTCCCTTTAGTGTTGCTTCCACAAAGCCTGTAGGCCCCCTAAATCTGCTGTCCCTCACCGATGAGCCTCATGACATTTGGGTGGTCAAATTCTTTCATGCAGACAGCTTCACTCAGGAAATCCTCCAGCTCCGACCTTGTGCAGATGGCAACTTGGGGGAGAGAGGAAGGAGGGTAAGAAGGAGGGGATGAGAGGGGAAGCAGGGGAGGGAGTATTTCCCCTCTTCCTCCTCTCCTTCACTATCATCATCATCATCATCTTCTTCATTAAACATGACCGTTAAGTGCCAGGTGCTATACTCAGAATTTTACATGTATTAACTCATTTAATCCTCTGAGGTGTTCCTATTATTTTATCCATTTTAAAGGAGGGAAACCAAGGCACATAATGGTTAAGGAACCTGCCTGAGGGCATACACAGCTTGCAGAAGGAATAGGCAGAATTCAAAGTCAGACTCCGGGTCCAAGTGCACACACCACAGTAGGCTATGTCCCAACACATTTCCAATAGCAGTGGGGGTCTGTGTGATTTTTCCTGTTTTACAGCTCAGGAAAGTGGCTCACAGAGGCAAAGTGACTTGCCCAAGGCCACACAGTTGGGATTGAAACCCAGGTCAAGAACATAGGAGATGTTCAAAAACAACTGAGTGAGTGACTAAGTGATGACTGCATAACCCAAACTTTTGGCCCCAGTGATTCAGAAAGGATTGTTCCTCCCTCACCTCCAGCCTGACCCTCTATGCTTTTTCCCTGTATGGAAATGATTTCCTGCCGTGGACTTCCTGTGCTGTGTGGCCCTGGACTGGCTCGCACCTTCTCTGATGATGTAAATAGTATAGTCACAGTCCACATCAACTGCATGTACTACGTTCCACACCTAGCATTAAGTGCTTTGTCTCACAACATCCTAGGACAGTGGTTGGCAAACTGCGGCCCCTTGCGTGTGGCTCTTTGCCGGAGTCCATTCATTGTCTTCACTAGCTGAGTTCAGACAGAGACCCCCAAAAGCTAGTAACCTTTGAAGTCCTAGCAAAGGTCAGGACTGCGCCCCACCCAGTTAATCTAGGAACCACCCAGTTAATTTAGGTAATAATAGATGAAGCATCATCCCCACCTTAGTTCCCTTAATTCCTTAGATACTTATGTAGATCCTTGTTCATTATTGTTGATCAGATACTCTGCCTATTCCTGGAAAGTGTCTGCTGATCTGTGTGTCATTGAAACCTCCTTACCCTAAGGGCTACTCCAGATCAATAAAAGATCGGAGCGGCCTGAGCATCGGTGGAAGTCCTTTGGGCCTTGCCCGCCTGGTCCCCCAATATTGCAAAATTATCTCGTGTTTTTTTCTCTCATTTGTTGTGCGGCTCCTCTTTCAGATACCGAACCCTACTCCACGCAGAACGTGGAGGGAGTGTTACTCGACACTCTTCCATAAAATACCACGTGCAGGTGCGCACGTACAGTGAGATTGAAACTTCATGGCCACACTCAAGGGGCCAAAGAGCCGCATGTGGCTCGCAAGCTGCAGTTTGCCGACCACTGTCCTAGGAGGTAGGGCCATTATGATCCTTTTTTCCACATGAGGAATGGGAGGCTCAGAGAGGGATAGTCACTTGCCTGAGATAACACTGCTGGTAAATGATGAAGCCAGGTGTACCTCATTTCGGATCTTTCTTGCTCTGCTATGTATCACAGGGGGCTGGCCCTTGAAAACTACATTTCCCAGGCTCCCTTTCCTACTGGTTTGTTGTTGGACTTTGCCAATGGGAAGCACTAATGGGAGACTGGCAGGTGGACAGGAAGGAGGAGGGGAGAAGCCAGGGTATTTCACCCGGTCTTGTAAGGCTTCCAGTATTTCCTTGGTGGTGGCTGTGTCTCCTTTGTGTTTCAAGCTCCCACGAGGTTTCCGCTAACTCTGTGATTCCCAAACCCTGACAGGCGTCCCTGGCCATGGGCTCTGGTAATCCTGGTCATTCCTTCCCTCTGCCCTTCAGGCCTAGAGGTGGGAATGACTACTGCTGCTGCTAATCTCCAGGTTGCGTCACTGCTCCCAGGTGTCCCTTCAGTCCTTCCTACACCTTTGTAGTAATCTCACCATATTAAATTTCTCCTGTTGAAGTACCTAGCATGGACTTCATTTCCTGCCTGGAAACACTGAGGTTCTGTGGTAAAGCCAATTTGCTGTTAACTCTTCTGCTCTTCTGCCTCCTTTGGGGCATTGGGAAGGATAGGCTAGGGGACGGGGATCCCACATGTGTGCACAGACTCACTCTTCATTGTCTTCACAGCCACCTTGAGGATGGAGTCATCCTGGTTGAGCTGGCCCTCCATCACAGCTCCAAACTCTCCTGTAGGGGACCAGAGGGAGACACTGACCTCAGGGGGGTTTATAGGGGTTGCATTTTCGTGTGGTTGGGTGGACGTGGGGAAGTGAAGGACTCCTTAGTTCAGGGGGATATATATGTGTGCCAGGGGGACTCACCTTCCCCCAGGGTCTTCCCCAGGGCCACCTTATGCCGGTCCACCATCACATCCCGCAGCTTCTCCTTCAGCTCTTCGCTGATTCCCAGGCTGTTCACTGCATGGGGAGTGGGGATGACAGAGCCATAGAGCTGGGCTGACATTTACATGCTCAGAGATACTTCTGCATTTACTCAGAAATAGCTACTGTCCTGAGCACCCTCCACTCCCACCCTAGCTCCTCCTCTAGACCCCTTGAATATTCCCCAAGAGGGGCACCTAAAAGGTTGGAGCCTGTCACATAATCTCACATCAGTGGGCACATTGATTGGTTAGTGTTCTGCCATACCAGTTGTTCATAATATTTATTAAAGTTTTATTGAGGTATATAATCTGTAGAAATCATAAGTGACCAGCTCAACGAATTTTCACAAACCAACCCAGCAGTCTAACTAGCACCCAGGTCAAGAACAGACCATGACCTACCCTCTCAGGGGTGGCCACTTTCCTGACTCTCTTACCATAGATTAGTCTTCTCTGTTTGGGGATGTTATAAACATAGAATCATATATTGTATTCTCTTTTGTGTCTGTCTTCTTTCACTCAACCCGATGTCTACGACACAGTTGTCGTAGTTATAATTGATTCATTTTCATTGCTCTATAGGAAGAGTTCCCAAACTTATTGGCCTCAGGACCCCTTTACATTCTTAAAATTATGGAGTAATGCAAAGAGCTCTCATTTACGTGGCGTATGTAGAGAGTGTCCCCCAAAAATGTATACACACTTTAACTGCTGATAGCTCAATTGATGTTTATTTCTTTTCAGATTTAACCCATTGGAATGAATAATTATTCAAAGTGTGTATAGCCCTAGCTGGTTTGGCCCAGAAGATAGAGTGTCAGCCTGCAGACTGAAGGGTCCTAGGTTCCATTTTGGTCAAGAGCATGTACCTTGGTTGCAAGCTCCCAGCCCTGGTCGAGGGCATGCAAAAGGCAACCAGTTGATGTGTCTCTCTCATATTAGTGTTTCTCTCTGTCTCTACCTCTCCCTTCCGCTCTCTCTAAAAATCAATGGAAAAAAATATCCTTGGGTAAGGATTAAAAAAAACCACACACACAAAGAAACAACAAAGTGTGTATACATTTTTGAGATATCCTGTCTATTGATATTTACTGTATTCAAATTAAAGCAAATAGATTTTTTAAAAAACAAGAATACATAAGCACACATTCTGTCAACCAACAGAGTGATGACATCATCACACATTAGAAAGTTCCTGGAAAACTCCATGGAATCCCTGTGAGAAAGTGAGAGTGCAAAAGGGCAAAACATATCTTGATATTATTATGAAAATAGTTTTGACCTTATGGACCTCCTGCAAAGATCTCAATGCCCCCCAGGGACTGGATCATACTTTGAGAATTGGTGCTGCATGTGATTCCATTAGATGAGTGTGACCTGCTCACTTCCTCTTCCTTCTCCTCTTAAATTAATGGCTTTTCCAGCCCCTTCTGAAATCTCCTTGGGGCCTGGAAGCCTTCTCACTGTGTGCTAGGAAGAGACCTAACTCTGCCCCCTCCTTTTTCCCCCTGGATTTAGGTTTCCCCAATGGGAAGATGAAGAGATTTGACTGGGTGGCCTCTGAGCTCCTCCATAGCTGGGACCCTCCATAACTCTACAGTCCTCTAACAGAGAGCCTATAGTTTTAAAATTCTATAATTTTCAAGACCCTAAGAGTCTATAGTACTGAGCCTATAATTTTTTTAGGCCAAGATCTATTCTACCTCTCTCACATCCTATAATTCTAAGAGGCAGTAAAGAAGATGGACTTCAGAGCCAAACTACCTGGGTTAGAATCCCAGCTCTTCAGCTGACAAGCTGTGTGACCTTGACCAAGCATCTTAACCACTCTATGCTACCGTTTACTCATCTGTGAAGTGAAGGGGGAATAACATGCCTACCTCACTGGATTGCTCTGAGGATTAAATTAAGTGACATGTGTAGAGCATTTAGAACAGTGTCTGTCACATAGGAAATGTTAGGGTTGGCTGTCATTATCAGCATCATAATCATAACATCGTCATTTTAACTATCAACACATTGTTCTAATATCCTATGGCTCTGAGGTTTTGTCTTCCAAGATTTATTGTGTCTAAGATTCTATTGTTCTAAGGTTCTTCTGTGTGATTCTACAATTCTGTTGTTCTTAGAGTCTGTGGTCCTAACATCCTAGTATTCCAAGGCCTTCAGAAATGTTTGGTTCACGTATATACAGAAGACTGAATCTCTACACTTATTATCCCCAAACCAGGGCATGGAGGCATGGAGTTCACTTACAGGTGGCTTCAGTGGTCCGGCGACTGTAGGACTTGCGAACGCGATACCTGACCACCAGCTCGCCCCTCTCCACTGTTGGTTCAAACACCTCTCTGGGGGTGGGGTGGGGGAATGGGGAGGAGGTGAGGGTAGAGCCCATGTGGAACCCCCTCCTTCCACTAGCAGTAAAAGCAAGCACCATCCCAATCCCAAGTCCTGCCTTTTCTCTCCTCCAGCGTTTGCTGAGCATATCTTGGACTGCTACCTTCTTCCTTCCATTCATTCCCCAGACCCTCGCCCTAATTCCAGTTCTTGGTAATCTCTCCTCCTGCACTAGCCTCTCCATGGCCTCCCTGCTTCCAAGTTCTCCATTTTAGTCTATGTGAGCCTCCCTACTCACAGAGTTCCAACTCACCCATAGCGGGTCTCCTTCTTCCGCCGATGGATGAGGAACAGGGCCAAGATGAAGACACAGGCAGCGGCCACAACTGCTCCCAGCAGTACATACCACCAGGGCCATGAGAAGGAGGGGGCTGGAAGTTCACTCACTGTCAGGGCATGGGGGACAGGTCATGGCTAAGGCCCTGTGTCCATCTCCCTGAGACCCAAGGGGGTGATGTTGGAGGGAGCAGATGTGGATATATTTGATTAAGCCTATCATAGGTGCATTCACATATATGGGGAGACTGGACTGGGCTGGGCAAGGCATGCAATGAATGTGATATGAGTGAGTGTTAAAGTAGAAGCATGAGACTTGTAGGGTGGCTGAGGTGACTTAAGAGTGGGATGGACAGTTGAGGACAGTTGAGGAGTGTGTGATGAGTGTAAAAGGAGTGTGGGATGGGTTATAATAATACAAGGAGGGCCCTGGCCAGTGTTGCTAAGTGGTTAAAGTATTAGCCTGTGGACCGAAGGGTCACAGGTTCAATTCTTGGTCAAGAGCACATACCTAGGTTACAGGCTCGATACCTGGCCCAGGTCAGGGTGCGTGCAGAAAGCAACCAGTCGATGTGTCTCTCTCGCATCAATGTTTCTCTCTCTTTTCCCCCTCCCTCCCTTCTCTCTCTAAAAATCAATGGGAAAAATATCCTCAGGTGAGGATTAACAACACAACAAAAATAATGCAAGGAGGGCTGATGAACATGAGATGGGTGTGAGTAAATTGCTAGTAGAGGGGTGTGTGATATATGTGATAATTGTGCAAGAAGGGGAACTTGGGTGTGGAAAAACAGGCAAGTAAGGGAGAGAATGCATGCAGTGTAGGATGGGTATATGAGGCATCTGCATTAAGTATGCAAGAACAGTGAGGCTCCTGGGATAAATGACCAAAGAATATTTTTGAGGATTGTGTGATGACTGTGGAAGGGTTTTCACTAAGCGAGGATGAGAGTGAAGTAAATGTGCAAAGGGGTGTAGTGTGCAAAGGAATGTGTACAGGGTGCGGATGGATGTTGAAGGAATTGGGGGTGTGTGAGTGAAGAGTATTCAAGGAGTTTTAGATTCAAAGAGTGAGCAGTGATTTGTAAGAATTAACTTTGGTGTGAGAAGAGTGTGCAATGAGCATGTAAAATGTGTGGAAAGGACAGATGAGCCAGGGATGAATAAAAAGGGTGTGCAAATAGGGGGGGAGTGGGTGAATAAGAAATAGAGAATGGGAATGTGCTAAGTGTGCCAGGAGTTTGTGTGGGTGTGTGCAGAGAATGGGAATGGGTTAGGATTACCTAGCGGTGAAGGAGTAACATGGAAGGAGTATTGGATGAGTCTACAAGGAGAGTTGTAGAGTGTGGGATAGTGTGGACTGAAAGTTTTTCAGTGTTTGCAATGTGGAATGTATGGTGTGTGTGTAAAAAGTGTGCTCAGAGTTTGTGAATGAGAGGTGTGGGAAGCATTAGGTTTTGGAGGCATGTGTAAGGAATGAAGAATTATAATGGGATGAACATGAAAAGAGGGTGGGTTAGTGTGGAAAGGGTATGCAAAGAAGTGCAGAAAGACGTAAAAAATATTTAAGGATAGTGGGATGAGTTATAAGAGGTGGAATGGAATGGTGCTAGGAGGATACAAAGGGAGTAGGAGGAATGTTTGAGTATTGTTAAGAAATATTTGAGAAGGATGAATGTGAAGGGGATAACTCATCCACTGTTCCATCCATCCATCCATCCATCCATCCATCCATCCATCCATCCATCCATCCTTCTTTCCTTCCTTTTAAGATGCCCACTAGGCCCAGGGCACTGTGCTGGCTGCTGGGAGGAGTTTTTGCCCCATAGGACAGAGCATCTGGTGGGGCCGGAGAAGCAGACAAGTGACAACCCACTAATGCTCTCAGAATGAAGTGAACTTCGAAGCACCTATCTATCCATCCATCCATCCACCCATCTACTATTCACTGAGTACCTACAATATGCTGGGCTATTCCAGGCACCTCCATCAAGGACCACATAAAAACAAGAAATAGAGGATTAGAGTGATGAGTCTGAGAAACATGAAAGGGATGTGTAAAGCATATGAGTGTGGTGATAGGGTCCTCACTGGGAAGGGAGGGAGGTGAGGGGATGCGAAAGCCCTTACCCAGCTGGTGCATTGGCTGTCTTTGCCCTGTGAGGAGAAAGGACAGAGGGAGGACATGCTCAAGGAGGGCAAGACTGGTGTGACCCAGGTGAGGGTATGAGGCTCAGTAAGATTCTAATAGGAACAGAGCCTAGATTGGGGCAACACTGAAAGTTGCAGAGAGCAAGTCAGGAGCATCTTGTGGAGTTAAGGTTCTTCTGGGTACTTTGAAGGGGGCTGACATGACTTTGGAGTTACCTGGGCGCCAAGGCTCTAGGGGCACGGGGAGGCTCCAGGGTCCATCCCCAGAGGCGGTGTAGGCTGCCACACACACCGTCAGGTTGGGCACAGTCCTGTCCTCCCGCAGCTCCAGGGTCACCTCTTGCTTTAGTCCTATGTCCATTAGCACCTAGGACATCCAGACTTAGCATCAGGGTAGAGCCCCAGGTTCTTAACGCTTAGGCCTCAACTCCCCAACCTTCTGGAAACCTTCTCATCTCCAATACCTTCTTCCCTTCTTCTTCCTACCTTTTCATCCCCACTCCTTTTATCTCCATCCTCGTGCCCACTAAAATATCAGTTCCACTAGGACAGGACTAGGACAGGACTTTGTCTCATTCAGTGCCATGTCCTCAAGCCCTACAACAGTGCATGGCACACAGTACTTATGCTGGAAACTGAATTCTCATCTTTCACTCTCATCTCTCCATCCCCTTCTAAATCTCACCCTTTTTCCCACCCTACTTCTCCACCCCAGGGATGCTGTTTGCACAGATAATAACTTTGTGCAAATTAGAAAAGGCATCCCTTCCTCAAGATGCTATACAACTATCTGCTGTACCATCGTCATGGTAAAACATGGAGGCTCCTGGGATAAATGACCAAGGAAACATGTCCACTGAAACACTATTTATAATGATTCATAAATAGCCATTCCCTCCCCCTCCCTTGGACCTCTTTAACCTTCTCACAATGTGCTCTCCTCTGCACTACCCAACCTGTACAACTAACTGTCCATATCTGCCCTGTCATCTTCTCCTCCCCATTTCCCTCCTTCTCAGCTCCTCTCCCCAACCCCAGCCAGCAGCACCCACCTCAGGAGTGTCCTGGCCTCGATAGGCCAGCCGGTACCCTAACAGAGTGCCCTGCAGGGGTGCCATTGGCTTCTGCCAACGCACGATGGCTTGGCTCCCATTCCGTATGGCGGTAACGTTCTTAGGGGGGCCCAGAGGCACTGGAGGACAGGGAAGAGGGGAAGCTGGCACCCCTACCTCTTCCTGACTTCTCCCTGACCCCAGGAAGTGAAGGCAGGGTGCAAAGAGCATGCGCATGGGCAACTCATGCAGGCCTCCCAGGAGCGGAAGCATAGGGAAGAGGTCCGGGAGAGATGCCAGTGCTGTGCTGAGGAGTGGGGACTGAACAGGAAGGAGATGGAGGCCACATGGGGTAAATGGGTGAGAGGAGATGCTGAGGGTGGCACTGATGTGAGCAAGGTCCAGGGGGCAGAGGGCAACGTCTCCCCCACCAGCCCCTTCTTACCTCCCTCAGGCGTCTCCACGGGAAGCCAGTGGGTCCAGGGTGAGGGGCCCTGGCTACTGGCACATGCCACCCTGATGTGATAAGGACTGTGAGGACGGAGGCTGTCCAGCTGTAGTTGGTGAGGGGGGACGGATACTTGCATGGTGAGGGGCTCCTCCGGGGGATCTGGCTCTCCCAGCCTGATGCCGACCCCATCATCTGACAGCACAGCCTGGGGACAGAAAAGGGGTGTGAGGACAGGATGGCCATGCAATCACATGAGCAGTCAGACAACGCTCGGTGGTGGTCCTTGTGATTACACAACTTTGAAAGGATGTGTGTGTGTGTGTGTGTGTGTGTGTGTGTGTGTGATAGCTTCATTCTAGTGCTCCATGGGCACCTGCATTTGCAAAGCGAAGAGACCATTCAGCTGCACAATGTGGTTCTGTCATCACTTGCAAAAGCTACCTCTGGCAAGATGTTCCCTCATTGAACCTCAGTTTCCTCATCTGTAAAATGGGGTATAATGTCTCCCTACTTCGAAGGGTTGACTGAAATGATGCTCCTAAGCATTTAGAAGAGTGCCCGTATGTATTGTTTGCCGTTATTAGTATTGTGTGTGTGTGTGTATGTGTGAGGTTGCCTTGGCAACAAGTGTCCAATTCCACACACCTTGCACAGCGGCATAGGCTGGCACACCCACCTGCCCCCCAGGAACGGCCAGGTCAGGATGGCAGGGCTACAGCTGGGGAATATACCTGTGCAGCACATAAACTGGTTTGAACATCACACCAACAGCTAACATTTCTTGAGTGTTAACTATGTGTCAAGCACCCTGTCAAGTGCATGTTTGGGTGAACTCAGTGACTTCTTACCACCACTCTATGGGGTCAATTTCTTTTTTCATTCCTATTTTACAGATGAGGAAACAGAAGCCCAGAGAGGTTCAGACACTTGCTCAAAGTCACAGGGCTCCCACATGTGGAGATAATACCACCCAGAGGCCTGGGGAGGAGGTGGGCAAAGGGTGGGTAACAGGATGAGGGGAGACTGTCCCCTTGCCTGCTCTTTGGCCCACAGTGACAGCCGGGAAGAGGAACCTCTGCTGGGACAAAGGGGACAAGGATGCAGACACTCAGCCTCCCATGCCCGCTCCCACTTCTCTTTTCCCTGGGATGGCTGTGACCCTCCCATTCGAACCCTTCAGCCCCAGCCTATGCACAGCAGGAAGTGAGACCTGCAGAGGGAAGAGGACATACTTCTGCTTTCCTGCGGACACTGGATGGGTGTGGGGTGGGGGTACAGCTGACACCTGACCTGGCATTTGAGCTCTCCCAAATTGGCCTGGCCTCTGGGATTGAATCAATTTCATCCTCTTTAGGCACTGGGGAGGACTGGTCATTTCTTCTCCCTGGGCCTCAGTTCCTTGCCTTGAAAATGGGAAGATTGACAACCACTACTTTTAAGGTTAAAATGACAAGTGAATCAGGTTGTGTCCAAGGCACATAATTGTAAGAAAGACAGTTGCTGTTTAATCAAGTACTGGCTCGAAAGGGTTTCTAAGGCGGTAAGGAGCATCCTTTGGGTTTGGTGAGACAAGGGTTCGAATTCCACCTCTCCACTTCCTGGCTGTCACCTTGGGCAAGTTTCCTAACTACCCTGAGCTTTAGTTTCTTCATCTGAAAAAAGGTTGTAAACACAGACCACATTCAACAAACACACAAGGGTAACACATAGGCCCAACACATAGTTGGCACTCAATGAAAGTTGGCCATTATTAATTATCATCTCCTATCATGGGCAATGCCCTACCAACTTCCGAATCACAGAGGTCTTCAGGCCAGAGCTGGATCTTGTATTCACATGTCTGTGTGTTTGTTTTTCTTACACTAGAGGAGGAGCAACTTGGGTGCAGAAGGCTGGTCTGGCCCTTCTCAGCTGTCAGGTAGTCTTCTTCTGACTGGCCCTGAGCCAGGCAATAATGAGGACTGAGTGGTGACTGAGACATCCTGGCTGTGCCCTTCCAGAGCTCAGTCCAGTGGGGAGACAGACTCACCCCCAGACAGTGACAACCCAGAGTGGTCAGGGCTGAGGTGTGAGAAGCAGGGTTGGGGGTAGCCAGTGGTGACCAAGATGGCTGTCTCAGGGTTTCCATTCTGACTACAGTCAATATCACTGATACAAAAAAAAACCACACAGCCGAAACCGGTTTGGCTCAGTGGATAGAGCGTCGGCCTGTGGACTCAAGGGTCCCAGGTTCGATTCCGGTCAAGGGCATGTATGTGGGTTGCGGGCACATCCCCAGTAGGAGATGTGCAGGAGGCAGCTGGTTGATGTTTCTCTCTCATTGATGTTTCTAACTCTATCTCTCTCCCTTCCTCTCTGTAAAAAATCAATAAAATATATTTAAAAAACAAAAAAACAAACAAAAAACAACCCACTGAAAATAGCTAATAGTTTATTATACATTTCCATTTGCATTTACTTATTGAATTCCCACAACAAGCCTTTCTAGTAATACTACCATTATGCCCATTTTATAGATGAGAGAACTGAGACACAGTCACCTACCTGAGCTCATGCAGCCATCAGTTGATGGAGCCAGGATTTGAACTCAAGACAGCTGCCTTAACCCGAGGCTCTACTGCCTCTCAACACACAAAAGCTGGGGAGGGCTGGTTATCCAGGGAGATGCTGAGGGCTTGTCGGTGTGGTTGGAGGGGAGCCTGAGGTTAGTAAAGTCTGAGTCTCACCTGCAGGGTGCAGTGGGTGAGGGGATAGATGCCGCTCAGGCCTGGTGTCCAAACCACCTCCAGCTTTGTGGGCAGACTGGAAACCAAGTGGAGGTCATGGGGCCGCTGGGGAAGCACTGTGGAGATGAGAGGAAGGACTGAAGGACTGACCTGGGGGGCCTTTGCCCAAGCTCCTCACCCTGCCTTCTACCCCAGCTCTGACCTTTGACCCCAGTCCCACACCATTTGACACCCAACTTCCCAGATCCTTTTCTGTCACCTGTGATGATGGCCGTGCGGGATGTGGTGACCCCCTTGGCATTATGGGCTTCACAGGAGAAAGAAGACGTCTTGTTCAGGCCTGGGAAGTCATATGAGGGTGGGGACCAGTGTCAGAGAGGTGCCCCTACCATGCCCCACCTGACAGGGCCAGTCTAGCCTATAGGGGCACCTGCTTAGAAGGAAACTATGGGAAGGGAACACAGGCCTCCATCCCAAACACTGGGACAGGTCTGGGGCCCTCAGCCCTAATGCCCCACCACATAGACACACATATATGCAGACACAGGCACACACATGGATAGACTCACATACATACACAGAAACATACACACACATAGAGACACGCACACTCTTGTACACACACTTATGCACAGATAGAGATACATATTGTACTCACACATACACATAAGCACACTTAGAAACACATTCACACAGCAAGACACACAGATACAGAGTTATACAAAGGCACACATAGAAACACATACTCATAATTATACACAAGTCACCTACACCAATACACACAGTTATACCCATGAACACACAAAGAAACACACTCACATACAGAAACACACATACTCATAGCTAGACACACAGACAGACACACACACTCACCTAGATGCAGAAACACAGACACACATAGAAGCATATACATCTAATAAGCACACACCTAAGAAACAGGCTCTCATGGGTGTGTGTAAATGTAGAGGTATTTATCTATAAACATAAAAGCCTAAGTGACCATTATGGTAGAATGACCAGTTGCTCTGACATGCACCGAGCAGGCAGGCAGGCGAGAGGTTAGGGGAAAATAGACAGGCAGGCGAGTGGTTAGGGGCAACAGGCAGGCAGGCAGGCAGGTGAGCAGTTAGGGACGAGTGATCAGGGCGAGCGGTCCTGGATTGCGAGAGGGATGTCCGACTGCCGGATGTCCGACTGCAAGGATCAGGCCTAAACCGGCAGTCAGACATCCCCTGAGAAGTCTGGATTGCGAGAGGGTGCTCCCTTGCATGAATTTTGTGTACTGGGCCTCTAGTTTGTTTATAAGCTCGGTTCCTACCAAGTCCACTCCCTCTCACTCACTCACACCTCACTCTCCTGGTGTTTCTGGGAAGCACACATCAAGCACTTTCCCACCTCGGGAACTTTGTACTCCTGTCCCTTCTTTTTGGAACAGTGTTCCCACTGACATCCGAGTGGTTCACTCCCCACCCCTTCACATTGTACTCAGATCCCACCTTCTCAGCCCTTCTGTCCCTGACCACCTTGTTTAAAATCAGAACTGCATGGCCGGTGTGGTTCAGGGATTAAACCAGGAGGTCAAGGTTTGGTCCCCAGTGGGGGGCATTTGGGAGGCAGTGGGTTGAATTCCCTCTCATCATTGATGTTTCTGTCTCTCTCCCTCTCCCTTCCTTTCTCTGAAATGAATGGGAACATATTAAAAATTTTAAAAAGAAATAAATTTGGAACCTCCCTCCATATCTAGCCTTTTTTCTACTTTATTATTTTCCCTTTGGCTATTCTCATCACAATGTCAACTCCACTAGCATGTCAGCAACATGGGCAGGGGTTTCTGTCTGCCTTGTCCCCTGCTGTATCGCCTGTGTCTAAGATGGCCTGGCACCCAGTAGGTGCTCTATAAATGCTTGTCGAATGAGTGAATGAATTTATGTGTATACATTTGTGTACTTATGAGTGTTTCTGGCTGTGTATGCAGAAATGTGAGCACGGGTACTTCTGAGGGTGAGTTAATGTACGTGTCATGAATAACTGTTTTTGAGTGTCTTGCCTCCCCAGTGTGATGATGGTGGGAACACAGGCAGATACACACACACACACACACACACACACACACACACCCACACACTCCCTGGATGACAGGATGTAAGGAGGACTAAGTCTTAAGTCTGTAGCTCGTGCCTGTCTGCCCATGCCTGTACCAGTGTGCTAGTGGACCTGTGAGTGTCTATGGATGTTGGGTGCTTGTGTGTGCCTCTTGCGTTTGTTCTGTGCCTGTTCTCACTACCATCTACCGCAGACACAAAGTTTCCTTTTCTTAGTCAGCAGAGGGAGTGGAAGGAGGGAAAGCTGGCTGGCTGCCCAAAGGGGTGGGCAGGGAAGCTCCTCAGTTCCGCTGTCCAGGCGCTAGTTCCCAGCCAAGGTCAGGTGCCCGCCTGCCCCCGCAGCCCCGCAGCCCTGCAGCCAGCCGCTGCCGGGGGTGGGACAGGACAGCCCTGGGCAGGCGGGCAGCCGGCGGGGGTGGGAAGTCTGGGTCCCCTCCAGCCACCTGGCATGTGGGGGCCGCCAGGGTCACTGTGTGGGAGCTGGCACTGTCCTCCAGAGGAGCCCTGGGGCAGGATGGGGGTTCTGGAGCCCCGTCCTGTTCCGACCACAGCATTCCTGCCCCCGTCTGAGTGAGTCACCAGGCCCCACCCCCTGCACTTCCGGCTGGCCTTGCGGGGAGAGGCCCAGGATCCCCCTTCCCAGGCTCGGACACCAACACCTTGAGGGAGGGGAGAGCAGGGATGAAGGGACCTGGGACCCCTTCCCTGCAGCAGGCTCTCCCTCACAGCAGGAGCAGGCCCACTCCAGATGTGCTTTCCAGATGCACTGTCCACCTCCTGTCCTCTCCTGCTCCTCCCCCCAACCCTGTGCTTTTTCCGAGGGAAAGAGAGGGATGGAAGGAGAGAGGGGGCACGCCCTAAGTCAGATCAAGGGACAGATGTACACAAACGGGCTAACATTCCTTAACACAGTCCCCCCCACCCCCCTCAATGAATCACTCTTAACTCACAGGGACCGTTATTGGCACAAAAACAGAGAATGCGGCGCTCAACAAGCTACGCACAAGGCTGATGCTGTGGCAAACATGCAGTGACACAAATACATACTCCATGACTTCCATACACAAGGGCTGACACAAATAAAGGTAGAGACCAAACATAAACACAATCAGACGTGCACACATGAACTACAAACACCTGGCAAGACCACATACACCTAGGCTGCAGCCGACAGACACACAAACCTCCCTGCATGTTGAGAGGCACACACCAAGGGACAATCACAAGTTGAGGTTGAAGTGGACAAATAATATACAATACACGCCAGAACCTGTAGAGGTTAATGTGGACTTGCTCGCCCAAAAATACAGCCAAGATTTCAAAACACAGCTGGACTTACTCAGGATGCTTAAGACATTCATCGAGATGCAGACTGATACAACAGCACTCACTTGCATGGACACGAGGGCTGTGGCAGACACACAAGAGGGGAGACATGTGCACACAGGCGGCACAGACACATCTACACACTGGCTGCTAAGCACCCCATGTTCATCCACCCAGAGGGCATGGGGCCGGGCTGGTACTCAGGGAGAGCAGACAGAGGCAGAAAGGTGTTGCTGCTGTCTGCTGAGAGTCACACGTGCGTACACACACACACAGACACACACAGGGGTCCATGGGACATAGTCCATACCAACATGCTCACCCTGTGACAAATACACAGACACCACAGATATCCATGGACACAGATATGTATACACACAGACAACCACAGTCAGTGGAAACACACTAAAAAGCACACTAAGTTGTCCATTGACACAATCTAATTCCATGGAAGCAAAAGCCCACACCATGATACTCGCACCCATAGGTGCACACCTGTAAGCTGACATTGTCTCCTCTGTATAGGGAGGTATGGGAAATGGCCACAAAACGCACTGTGATCCCTCACTCTGCCATCTCTCCCCCAACACACATACACACTCCACCCTCACACAGTGCGTCACAGCTGCGAGCACACAAACACAAAGGCTGACGCAGGCTGACACTGGTATACTTAGTCACACACACACACACACACACACACACACGTGCGTGCGTGCACGCACACACACCCATGCACTCCTCCCCCACGCACTGAGACAGCTACAGAAGCTGGCCCTTGCTAACACCCCCACCTCATCCAAAGAGGTTGATGCTGACAGACACTGAGACACAGATCCAAAGGGACATGGATACATACCCAGAGCCTCCCCCCACCCCACCCCACACACACTAATACACACACACAGAGATCGCCCTCACAGTTGCACCAAATACTGATACATGCACAGACCTCTCTCACCTGTGGTCCCCCCCATTTTTCCTTCTGGGATGGAGTTGGGCAACCAGCCTCCTCTCCCTCCCCCTCTCTGGGGTCCTGCCAAGCTGACTCAGTCCCCAGAGCCACTGGCCTGAGTCAGCCCTCTGGGGGCTGGCATGCTCACCACCTTTCCCTTGCACACTCAGGGTCCCCAGAATGCTGGGAATGTGGGCACCTCCCTCCACCCTGGGAGACCCTCAGTCAGGAGTCCCCTCCCCATCCCAGCAGTTGGAGAGCAGGTTGGGGGTGCTGGAAGCTGATACCCTACAGGGTCCAGCCACCTCCCTCTGACTAATTGAGTCTCCCCCTTCTGTATTCCTCTCTCTCCTTTCTCAGTGAAGGGGAACCCCCTGTGTCCATGGTCCCCCAGCAATGCCACGGACCGCTGTGTGACCCCAAGCTTGGTCCTGCCCCATCTTGGGTTACCTCTGTGGTCTGTCCCTCTCTGTCTCTGATTCTCTCTCTCTCTCTCTCTCTCTCTCTCTCTCTCTCTCTCCCTCTCTCTCTCTCTCTCTCTCCCTCTCTCTGTAACTCACTCTCTGTCTCCCACTTTCACCTTCTCTCTTTACTTCACGTTCTGTACCCACCAGTGGGGCCCTTCAGTGACAGGGGTAGACAGGTTGGGGGAGGTGGAGGAGAGGAGGGCACGGTTGATTCTGGTACCCTGTTTGGGGTCAAGGGCTGACAAAGGGCCATCAGGCCTACACACACTTGGGCTATGGAACAGCTCAGAGGAAACCCAGGACAAAGAATTCTATTCAGAGACAGGCTGGGGTAGTTGGAGGGAGAAAGAGCAGAGAGACAGGACACAGAGAAACAGAGCGATGGAGAACAGAGACAGAAGGAGATGGAGAAAGCGTATGGGGAGAAGTGAGGAGGTAGACAGGGGCAAAGATGCAGAGATGAGATAGACTCAGAGGCAGAGACTCAGGAACCGATAGAGACGGACAGAGGACAGAGGGACAGGCAGACACTCACACAGGAGCATGAAGGGCACTCCCACTTCCATCCTGCCAGGGCCTCTACAGTGAGCTGGCCACATCCCCGGACTCACCTGGAACATGAAGTATGTGCTGGGGGGTGTGGCCCGTGGCCGCAGCCAGGGGGACAGCATCCTGGAGCCAGAACAGGTCCACGGGCTCTGGGGGACCCTGGGCCCGGCAGCTCAGGTTGAAGGGGGTGTTGGCAGTAACAGTCCTGTCCTCAGGCTCCTCCAAGAAGTAGGGCAGGCCTGGGTGGGGTGATGGTAGAGGCTGGGTCTCTCTGAGCCCCCCAGGTGTCTGACTCACTGCCAGGCTGTTGGAGGCTGCAGGCTCTTTAACCCGTATGTCCCCTCAGGCCTCTACCCCCAGGGCACATCATCCCAATACCTGTTTCCCCCAACCAATGTCGGACCCCCAGGACATATAAGCCCCTCCTTCTTTTCCAGAATGTCTGACTTCTCATCCCATTTTACCAATGAGGAAGGCGGTGGGGGGCTGAGGATGGGAAGATGGTTAAGTCATGCCTCTGACACCTTATCTGTTCGAAAAATATCCTACCCCAACCATGGCTGACCCCAGGATATCCAACAACACCCCCCACCCCAAGATGTTTTCTTCCGCAGGACTTATAATCCCAATAATTTATGGACCCAAGCTTCCTGATCCCTTCAGATCTCTGACATTCTTAGCATGTATGTCCCTGGGAGACATCCGGAATCTTCCAGCACCCTTTGACCCCTGGGGTTCCTGACCTCCCATGACCTCTGAGCCCAGAGCTCACCCTCCAGTCCAATATAGCCGGGCTGGGACACAAAGTTCCTTCCTCCCAGGACCACTGCGCACTGGTACCATCCCACGTCCGAGAGCTGCAGGGACAAGATCCTGACAGGGACAGAGAGGTTTGGGATCAGAGCTGGACACTGGGAGGGACGCATCAGAACTGAAAGATGGGGGTCTGGACTGGAAACACGTGAGCTAAGAGGTGGGCACTATTATTAACTCCTTTTACAAAAGAGGAAAGTGAAACCCGGGGCTACATCACATGCTCACAGCCACACAGCCGCGGGCGAGTGGCCAAGCTGGGGCTCCAACCCTGGTGGAGTGCCTGGTGGTGACTTTTTCACCCACCATGTGATGGAGGTGGTGGGGGTTAGGGGTCAGGGGGGATGTAGGGATGTGGTTGGTCAGGGAGAGGCTGGTCACCTGAGCTTGCTGACCACTTTCCAGTCGTCCTGCTCATCTTCGCCCAGGGGCACCTGGATCTGGGTGCTGTCTGCCAGCTCCAGGGCCTGTCCATCCCGAAGCCAGGTCACCTCAGGGGGCTCCCCATGAACCAGAAGCTCACACTGAAGGGTCCCCGTGAGTTCCCGGGCACCAGTGATGTTCCCTGGGCTCCCCACAAAGGGGTCCTCCTGAGCCTGTGAGCCTGCAGGGAGATGGGGAAGAGCCGGCTTAGGAAACTCCACTTCCCTCCAAATCCTCAGTCCCACCCTCTGGGCCTGCTTATGGCAGCCACGACCTTGCCAGGCCTTTAGGCCCACATAGCTGTAGAGTGACCTCAGCGGGGGCTGGAGGGAGGCGCCTTGAGGGGAGGATGGGAGCCTTCCCAGGGGATTAGGGTCCAGCCTTCATCCTTCAACTTTGGGAAGAGGGCCCGGGATCTGGCAGCCTCCCACGTCCTGGCCTGCCGGGCAGGGCCAGCTCTTGCCCCGCTGCCCTCCCTTAGGGTCTCCAGAGACGTGACAGGTCAGGCTGGTGGATGGCGGGGAAGAAAAGGAGGGAAGGAGAGGGAGAGGGGGAGGGAGAGAGCGAGAAGGAGAGACGGGGAGAGAAGCCAGAGAAAAGTTGAGCAGGGGGAGTCAGAGACAGAAAGGAACAGAGACCCAGAGAGAGAGACAGAGGGTGAGAGATGAAGAGACACCCTAGGGGAAAAAAGTGGTGGAGAGACACGAGAAAACGGCGGTGACATTGATAGAGATGGAGAGAGGGAGGGAGGGAGACCCACAGAGATGGTAGAGCTGGAGCCTGAGACAGAGCCTCGGTCCCAGAGATGGAGCAGACAATGGTGGGGCAGGGACAGGGTGTGGGGGTGACTGTGCTGAGGGTTTTCCCCTAGGGTTCCCAAGCCCTCCCCGTCCCGCTGCCGGACTGAGTACTCCTTTCTGGAAATTTCCTTCCCTGGAAGCCCCCCTCTCAGCCTCTCCCCAGGGCCCCCACTCCAGTCCAGCCCCCACCCTGCCCTCAGCTTCTCCTGGGTGTCTGTCTCGGCGTGTGCATCTCTTCCCGTCTCTGACCCTCCTAGTTTCTATTTCTTGTCCCTCTGTTCCTCTCTCAGAGCCCCTCTCTGTCCCCCGGGGCCTCTTGGGTTTGTCTCTGTGTCTCCCGTCTCCCTCTCCGTTGTCCCAAGAAAATTCCCTGAGCCAACTCGGGACCACCCCCAACACCTGCCATCCCCCCACACCTCCCACCTCCCCCAGCCCCTCCACAGGTAGTCCTGCCCCTCAGGCCACCATCACTCACCGTTGGGGGCCATGCACCCCCAGCAGCACAGAGCCAACCACCAGGCCAGCGGGACCCTGCCCATCCTCGGGGCAGCGCGCGAGCTCTGCCAAACTTTCCTCAGAAGTTGCTGGGCACACGGAGGGGGAGGGGGCAGGGCCGGGTTGTCCCCGGCCCTCCCCCCAGCTCCGGGCTCCCCGGCTTTGGCTCTACCCGCCTGGCACAGGAAGGGCTCCTCACCGGCTCCACTCCACTCCGTGGCCACCTTCCCTGCTCCCTGATCTTCTCCCTCCCAGACCTCCGAAACCCGTCCCCCCGCCCCTGCCTCCCCCTGCCTCCACCCACCGGGCTGGGAGCCGAGGGGGCCACTGGGATTTCGAGGGGTTAACTTCGGAGAGGAGAGGACCAGCCCTGTCTTAAAGGGACCCTGGAGGGAGGCTGAGGAGGGGAAGGAGCCCTGGTGGCTTCACCCCTGAGCCTGGGCCAGAGAGGCAGGGAGGCTGTGTGTTTCCCTACCCGGCGCAGGGCGCTGTCGCCCTGGGCTCTCTGGATGTCCCGTAAACATTCCTTCAGAACTCCACTCCCCGCTCAGCCCTGGCGATGCCCCCTCCCCGGCCTCCACCCCCAGCCCAGCCCCAGCCAAGCACTCCTCTCACACTCACAGCTCCTCCTCCTCCTCCCCCTCCTTGTCCTCCTCCCCCCCCTCCTCCAAGGACACACACACACACACACACACACACACACACACACACTCACACAGTCAGATGTCATCAACACACAGAGGCTGGGACAGGAGGAGACATGCAGGGGCACGCTGCCAGCCATGGGACATACTCAGAAGACAAGCCAGGTCAGGAACTCCAGTCCTGGAGAAATCTCAGAAACCAGAACCTGAAGAACACCTGCTGGGTGGCATCCCCGGGGTACACTCAGGGAGATGTGGAGCCTCCTGCCCAAGAGACCCACCTGGGCACAGAAACAGGACCCGCCCTGGCTGGTGTGGCATCAGCATCATCTTGTACCAAAAGGTGGTGGGTTCTATTCCTGGTCAAGGCACATGCCTAGGTTTCGGGTTCCATCCCCGGTCATGGCACGTGGAGGCAGTCAATCACTGACGTCGGTCTCTCTCTCTCTCTCTCTCTCTCTCTTTCTCTCTCTGTCTCTCTCCCTTCCTCTCTCTAAAAATCAACACAATTAAAAAAAAAAAGAATCTATTTTTTAAAAAGGAACAAGACCCCAGGGTGTCCTGTGGGAGCACTTTGGGGTGGGTGCCTGAAGAGTTGGGCTGGAATCCCAGCCCTACCAGGAACTGGTGATCTTAGAAGTGAGTGCCCTCGCTAGGCCTCAGTTTGTCCATCTGTAAGATGGGCATAAGCAGGCTAGAGGGAGGACATCCTGGTCCAGTGCACGTGCAGTTCCTCTTTGCACATGATAATGACCGCTGACCAGGCGCCCTTGATTTTTGGCATGCCTTCTGTTTGTTTCTCTGTGCACTTGCATTGTGGTCCTTGCAGACCTGGGGCCTGTGTGTGGGTTCTGTTGCCTGTCCATTTCTATGCCCCTATGTATTTTGCACATGGAGGTCTCTGTAAGCTTGCATTTCTGGGGGCTAGGGGAGGTGGAGGGGTGGGTGGAGTTGGGCAGCCATCTCTCTGCCCTTAACCCTTCTGTGTGTTGTTATCCCTACAGCTCATCACAAAGTCCTGTCTTTTCAGCCTCCTGATGTCTCCCACCTGCCCCTTCTCCCATCTGAATGCAGCCCCATCCTTTCTCACTGGCCCCCTCTCCTGGCCTCCGCCCTGGCCTCCTTGCCTCCGTTCTTGCTCTCTCCAAACCATCTCCCATTCAGCAACCAGACGGGTGTTTCAGAAATTCACATCTGCCCTGCCCTCCCCTGCTTGACCTTAGCTCCTTACTGCCCTCGGGGTGAGCTCCCAGCTCCCGAGCCTGGCACTCAGGGCTCTTCACCATCAGCTTCCCTGAGCTGTCTCGTGTGTGTCCTATTTCATGGCCGTAGCATCCATCCTGCCACCCAAGCCTGACTTTCAGGGCTCTCTTGAATCCCTCACCTGGCACTAAGTTACCCAGTCCCATGGAGGACTCAGCTTCACAAACCTTTCTCCCACCTGGCCCTGTTCTCTCCCTGACACCTCTGCTCTGGCCTCCTCCCTGATCTTCCTGCCTCCACTCTTCCAGACACAGCAAGAGGAGTGTGTCTCAATCCCAAATCACCCTTTCCCTCCTTTTCACCAAACCTTTCAAGATGAAACTCCAGACAGCTTGCTTTAGGTCCCCTCATGTCCACTTGACCCTCCCCTCGGGTCCCCAGACTTTTTTCCCTTGATGGGAAAATGTGTATCTGTCTCTCTCTTTTCCTCTCTCTAAAAATCAATAGATTTTTTAAAAAAAGAATCTATTTTTTAAAAAGGAACAAGACCCCAGGGTGTCTTGTGGGAGCACCTGGGGCTGTGTGTGTGTGTATGTGCCTGAAGAGTTGGGCTGTAGCCTTTTGTCCCCAACTCCTACACATGCCTCAGCCCCATCTCAACATCCCCTCTCCATTGCATCATGGTCTGGCCCTTCCCAGTCTAATCTAGGTCCCACTATTCACTCACAATACGCTGTCCTTTTCTTTAACAACACTGCATAAGTTGCCATGACACAGTAGTCCTCCATTATCCACGGTTTCCCTTTCCTAGTTTCAGTTACACGCGGTCAACCACGGCCTGAAAATATTAAATGGAAAATTCCAGAAACAAACAATTAATATGTTTTAAATTGCATGCTATTCTGAGTGGATTGATGAAATCTGGTGCGGTCCCTGGGACGTGAATCATCCCTTTGTCTATCGCATCCATGCTATGTATACTCCCCACCCAGTAGACACTTAATAGCTGTGGGTTATCAGATCTGTTAGAGAGAGAGCGAAAGTATTCACATAATTTTTATTACAGTACAGTGTTATGATTGCTCTATTTTATTATTACTTACTGCTGTTAATCTCTTACTGTGCCTAATGTATCAATTAAACTTTGTCATAGCTATGTGTGTATAGGAAAAAACATAGTGTATATAGGGATCAGTACTATTGGTGGTTCTAGGCATCTACTGAAGGTCCTGAAACATACCCCCTGTGGGTAAGGGGGGACTGCTGTATATTTATTTATATATATTTATTAGTGTGACTATGTGTCTCATATCTGTCTCCTCCTACTGGCCTGTGGGCTCTGGGGGAGCAGGGACTGGATCTATCCTGGTGACCACTGCATCTCAGCTACCCTGTAAAAGTCCTGCCATAAAGCGGCCAATTCATTATTGTGGCATTTTGGAGATGCAAATATGTGTAAAGGTCTACCCACCTGTTTGAATATGGTCAGGAGACCTACATATCTAGGGCTCAGTGGACCTGGCTGTGTGCATGACCAACTCGAATCTCTGTTCACTCAAGAACTGTTAGGGGCAAAGATAGAATATTGGGGACTAGCTATGGCTATGGGAAATAATCATGCTGTTAACCACGATTGCCTTGTGTTGGTTAAAGTAAGGACATTCTGACCTGGCTGGGAGTTGTAAGCTCCCAGGACCCGGGAGTCAACCTTGGACCTGGGAATCAACTTTGGAACCATTCTCATTCAAGAACTGCCTATTATCATGGAAAGATTAACAACCTTGTTGCCCAAACAATGGAGTCCCACCCCAGCCTGCATAGCCTACTTCCCCATGCCTGTAATCGCTACTTCCCCATGTAATCTTTGTCTTACCCTACATAAGCAGCTGGCTTATGGGGGGCTGCAGAGCAGATTTTTGAGGATGACCTGCTGCTCTCCCATACTGCCAGCATTATTGGAATAAACGCTCATATGTGATTCAACCCTGTCTCTGCTTAATTGGCTCAAATAGTGACAGGCAGCACAGACCCACTGATTGTCCAGTTACAGAACTATTTGCTGAGCACTTACCATGTGCTTGCAATTTACTTTCTTTGTTTTTTTTTTTGTATGTATTTTTAATCCTCACCCAGTGGCTATTTTTCCATTGATTTTTAGAGAGAGTGGAATGGAGAGGGGTGGGGGGTTGGGGGTAGACATAGAGAGAAAAACATCCATGTAAAAGACATATTGATTGGTTGCCTCCCGCACATGCCCCGACCGGGCCCGGGATGGAGCCTGCAACTGAGGTACATTCCCTTGACTGGAATTGAACCCTCAACTCTCCAGTCTGTGGGCCGACACTTTCCCCACTGAGCCAAACCCGCTAGGGCACAATTTACTTTCAAATGCCTTACAAAATGTGATGGATAAGAGGATAGAAATGTTCCCTGTGCCAGGGGCTGGGGATTCCACAGTGAGCTCATATCTCAGGAGGAAGAGAAACAACAACCAGATAAGCACTTATCAGGATGCAACATGGGCAGTGAAAAATAGCAGAGGAGGGTGAGGATTAACAACAAAAAGTTATACCAGGATTTTCTTTCTTCTTTTTGGTTAATCCTCTGGAGTAGCGGTCGCCAACTGGTGGTCCGTGAGGTCCGAAAGGTTGGCGACCGCTGCTCTGGAGGATATTTTTTCCATTGGTTTTTAGAGAGAGAGGAAGGGAGTGGGAGAGACAGGGAGAGAAACATCAATGTGAGAGTGACACATCGATTGGTTGCCTCCCACAAGTGCCCCGACCAGGGCCGAGGATGGAGCCTGCAACCTAGGTACGTGCCTTGACCGGAATAGAACCCAGACCCTTCAGTCTACAGGCAGAAACTCTATCCACTGAGCCAAACCAGCCAGGGCTCTATGAGGATTTTTGACTGTGTGTGTGTGGAGGGTGGGGTGGCGGCACACTTAACCCCTGTGTTGTTCAAGAGTCAAGTGTATAACACATTTTCTGTATCCATTCATAGAGCAACGTTTAGGTGGCTCTATGTCTTGGCTATTGTGAATAATGCTGCCATGAATGTGGGGGTCCAGATATCTCTTTGAGATACTGATTTCTTTTCCTTTAGGTATATACCCAGAAGTGGGATTCTGGGTCATATGGTAATTCTATATTTAATTGTTTTGAAGAAATTCTTACTGTTTTTCATAGTGGCTGTGCCCATTTAGACCCCCAGCAACAAAGCACCAGGCTTCCCAACTGGTTGGCTCTGAGTAGGGAGAGACACCTGATTCAATTCTTTAAAAATATATATGTATTTATTGATTTCAGAGAGGAAGGGAGAGGGAGCATGTGTTCTGATCGGGAATCGAACCATGACCTCCTGGTTTATATGTCAATGCGCAATCACTGAGCCATGCCAGCTGGGCTTGATTTGGTTTTAAAGGGTCCCTCTGCCAAGGCCAGTAAGTGAAAGGTTGACAGAAAACTTTCTACCAGAGAGGTCAGGACCTGGACGCACTACAAGGACCATTGCTTCGTGTGATGTGATGCTCCAAGAATGGGTCAGCACCTCCAGTAAGAAGCTCTTGACAGAATGAGCCAGAATCTGACTTAATTCCCAGTTTATAGGGGACTCCTGGGAATGGAGTAGCACCACAAAAATGCCATCAGCCAAATCTAGGATATGAAAAGTTGTACAGCCTTGGTCAGTGTGGCTCGGTTGGTTGGAGCATCGTTCTGCGCACCAAAAGGTTGTGGGTTCGACTCCTGGTCAGGGCACATACCCAGGTTGTGGGTTCCTTCCTCGGTCAGGACATGTGTGGGAGGCAACCAACTGATGTTTCATTCTCACATCAATGTGTTTTTTTTTTCTCTCCCTCTCTTTCCCTCTCCCTCTCTTTTCTTCTTTTTCTAAAATTAAAAAAAAAATAAATAAGAAAAATTGTAAAGGACACATTTCTTCAAGAAATAAGTGGTGCCTGGCAGGTGTGGCTTACTAATAGTGGTTGAGCGTTGAGCTGTGAATCAGGGGGTTAGGGTTCGATTCCTGGCTAGGGCACATGCCTGGGTTTTAGTTTCAATTGAGGGCATGCAGGAGGCAGCCGATCAATGATTCTCTTTCATCATTAGTGTTTCTATCTCTCTCTTCCTATTGAGCTGTGAATCAGGGGGTTAGGGTTCAATTCCTGGCTAGGGCACATGCCTGGGTTTTAGGCTCAATTCCCAGTCGAGGGCATGCAGGAGGCAGCTGATCAATGATTCTCTTTCATCATTGATGTTTCTATCTCTCTCTTCCTCTCCCTTCCTCTCTGAAACAAAACAAAAAAGTGGCACACAAAATGTTAGAGAATGGTTGAAGATTTCAAAGATGTAAGATGGCACAAAGGCACTGTATGGTGAGGCTTTGGGGCCTTGTTTGAACAAACCCAGTTATAAATTACGTTTATGAGACTGTCAGGGAAACATGAACACTGACACTGAAGAGCTGCCAATAAGTGAGAGGTGTCAAAATAGGTATTGCGGTGGTAACTTTTTCTTTTTTTGTAGAAAAGCAAGTAAGAATTTATTGATGGCAGCAAAATCATACTTAGGACAGTGGGACGAGGAAGGGCGTGGAAGCAGCAACAGGAGAGCCTAGGCTGGGCTGCTTTGGCTGGGAAGTCAGAGAAAAGGGGGCCTTGGAGACAGGGTCAGGGGGTTAGCCCTGGAAGAGGTGCTGCTGCCCATTGCTCCCCTGGTGACAAGCCTCACCTCAGTGAGGTCCCTTAGTGGATGGGGACCCGTGGCTGTGGGGGAAGGAGAGAGGGAAGAGAATGGCAACCCGGGCATGTGTCCTGAGAGAGAGCGCCTGTGGTTGTAACTTTTGAAAAACAAATTTTAAAGGGGGGGGGGTTATTGTTTTAAAAAGTTAAGCCTCTTTGTTGCAGATGAAATTTTGGATACAGATACATTATAAACGTATATAATGCTACTGAGTTGTACACTAATGGTTAAAATGATATCGTGATGCATATTTTACCACACACACCCAAACTAAAATCATCTTAACACGTGTCACCTTTCACACTGATGCAGTTCAAGGTCCATCCTTCCTTACAGAAAAGTTTGCTAGTATTCCCGATCCCATGCTTCCCTGGATGTGAATTTTGAGTGCTAAAGAAAGCAAGTCATCGCTTTAATTTAAAAGGAGAAAACCTTAAACATCACTCATTCCTTTTCACATCACACTGTTGATGTGAGACACGTCCAAACCTGCAGAGAATTTTTATGAGTGTATTTGAGCTAAACTGATGACGATGGCCAGGAATAAAAAATTTCAACGGATTGAGAAAAGCTCCAGAGAATGGCAGTTTTGCAGCTTATTTTATACCTTAGAACCAGAGGAGGAGGTGTAGGGTGGGTTACATGAAATCTATTGGTGGTAGATTTAGGGGATGGGAGAAAGCAAAGGCGGAGGTAGGGGTGGCGGGTGGAGCAGGGGGAATCTCTGAGATTGGATGAAAAGTAAAACGGATACGTACTTCTTTTACAGGATAGTGAGCAATTACAGCACATAGAGATGGTATGTGGAAGAACAGATAACAGCAAGGGCTTCTGTGGTCTCAGCTCTGGTTCCTTGGGTGTGCCCTGAGGGGTCTGGGAAAGATTACTCTAACATTTCCAAGGTATGTTACCTTAGATGCAAAAAGACAGGCTCACTTAAGGAAAGGTTGACCTTTGTCAAGGAAGCTACAGGCCCAGGACAGGCTACTGGCCATGACCTGCTTTTAGTTAGGAATTACGGTCACACTGTCCTATGTGGTTACTTTCAGTCTGCGTAGACAAGGCTGTCATGCAGGCCTCCCCTGAGCTTATCAGGTTTAGTATGTGGTCCCTTTTTTTGCCCACAGCACTGACATATTAAAACACAGTAATAGTACATCCCAGAACTTAGCTTGTATTTTGTTTCTATTAAGTCCCAGAATTTTTCACATTTCTTTTTTGAAATTTAGTACATCTCTCAGATGCTACCTCCTCAGTCAGGCTGTGATCAGCTGGAAAGTGGCAAAGTTAGGATCTGATCCCAATCTCATCATATCACTGTTCTGGGCTACCTCTATAGAACTTAAGCCAAAAAATAAAGTGATAGCATCAGAGGAAAAAAAGCCAAAACACAAAACTTTCGGCCCTGGCTGGGTAGCTCAGTCAGTTAGAGCATTGTCTCAATACACCGAGGTTGCAGGTTTGATGCCAGGTCAGGGCACATACAAGAATTAATCAATGAATGCATGGATAAGTGGAACAACAAATTGATGTCCTCTCTTGCTTTAAAATCAATAAATTAAAAAAAAACTTTAATGATACATGCATTGCTAAAGCATTCAGGGGTCAGATAAACTGTCTGCAAGTTACTTTGAAACTCCTAGAAAAATGAGCTGGATGGACAGGTGGAGAGACATGTACTAAAGCCAACTGAAGCCAGGGGCACATGGCAGTTCCCCAATAATTCCCTCAGCTTTACTGGAATTTTGAATCTTGAAAATTGTCATAAAACTAGCAGAAAAGTGGATGAAATAAAAAGCAGGAAGGTGATGGTTGTCAAATGAGATTGGTGATTGTACTGGTCTACTTCTGTGTTTGAAAACTTCCTTACTAATTAACAAATAAAACGATGCTTCTGGTTTCTTAAAGAAGGCAGGAGGAAAAGGGTTTAAAAGAGGCGGAAGTAGGGTTAGGGTTTGTGTTTCAGAATCTGCTTTTAGATTGGGAGAGTTCCCAGGGATTGGATGGGCCATTTTCAGGCTTTCCCTGGCTGAGGCCCACCCTGTCCAGGGTCCAGGCCAGCTGTTCCGAGGTTACCTTCTCCCCACCCCCCTCGGCCTCCCGGGAAGTAAGCCCAGGACAGGCCCCTCCTCCCCACATCTGGTACTGATGTCAACAGCCAGGGTGGGCGGGGGCCATGTTTTTCAGGTCCCGCCCAGCCTCCAGGGAGGGGTGGACGCCCCCATCCCCACCCCTTACTCACAATGTCAGACACTGTCACACACACACCAGGCTCTGCCACGGGGCTGGACCACAGGCCAGAAACAAACTTTTATTACAAAACAGGGACCTTCGAGTCACAAGGCCAGCAGATCTGGTCTCTTCCCTGACACCGGGAGTTGGAATCTGGCCCCTACTTGTTCCTCTAGCCCAGTGGTTCTCAACCTGTGGGTTGCAACCCCTTTAGGGGTCGAACGACCCTTTCACAGGGGTCACCTAAGACCATCGGAAAACACATATATAAATACATATTGTTTTTGTGATTAATCACTATGCTTTAATTATGTTCAATTTGTAACAGTGAAATTGGGGGTCACCACAACATGAGGAACTGTATTAAAGGGTCACGGCATTAGGAAGGTGGAGAACCACTGCTCTAGTCCCTTCCCCCGTTTCTACGGGGGACTTTGAGGATGACGGTGGGTCAGTGTGTGCTGAGGAGGCAGGAGAGGCTTTCAACATGGTTATATAACCTGGTCTGAGGGTCCCATGTGTCCTAGTTTACTTGGTTCCCAGTTCTGTGTGCATAACTGCACAATGAGGGTATATCTGTAGTTGGGAGAATTTAGGGATCAGGGTGCTTGGAAAGGGTCCTTGAAGGCTGAAGGTGGGAAGGCCAGGGTGTGACTGTCTCAGTAGGAAGGTATCTGGGAGTCAGGACGAGGCCAGGCGTGAGCTGGCTGTGTGGTTCAGTGGTTGGGAGAGTGTGGCTGGTGAGTCACGTGCCTGGGTAATGGTGTGGTCCCTCGAGGGCTGAGGGTAGTCTCTCTGCAACATGGCCCAGGAGGGTACCTGTTCCTTGCTCCAGGCTCCTGGAGACAGTGGTGCTGTTAAGTGTGATCAGTGAAGAGGGCATGTGGGCCGAGAATACGGTGGAACTCCCACATATGGGTTGTGAGTCCAGGGGACTTACCTTGTATGCAAGTTGGTGGGTTATCTGGGCATGTGGTTATGATTCCAGAAAGACTAAATTTATGTCTATAGAAAGCTTGCGTGGCTGAGTTGCCTTGTGGCTGTGTATGGGTGTGTGGTTCAGTGAGTGTGGCCCTGCGGACGAGTATCTGTGTGACTGACTCTCACAAACAACTACAGGTGTGTGAACGTGGTTTCCTGTGGTGTAGACATGGCTCTGGACACAGCCATGTCCAGGCCCAAGGTCGAGGCTGCTACCTCCCAATACCCTCTCCTTCATTTGTTCCACACGATGGGGTGGGATGGAGGTCAGCGGGGACGGACTTGCAGCTGGAAGGTTGGGGGGATGTTGAAAAGGCCACTGACAGCTGGCTGGAGACTCACAGCACCCACTGGGCACGGGCTCTCCAGGGAGAAGGCCTGCAGGATGGCGGTGACGAGAAGGAACAGCTCCGCTCGTGCCAGGCCCTCCCCGAGGCAGACACGCTTACCTGGAGGGAAGAGGGAGATAGGGCTGGGCTAGCCCTCCTCACACCCCAGCCAGTGGGTGGGCAGGAACCGGCCCAGTAGATACCTAAGGAGAAGGGCAGGAATGCCTCCTGCTTCTTGAACCTTCCGTCTGCATCCAGAAATCGGCCTGGGTTGAACTCCTCTGGCTGCTTGAAGACTTCGGGGTCATGCAGGACAGAGCCCAGGAGGGGGAAGACCTCAGTGCCCTGAGGGGAAATCATAATAGAACTACAAATATCTTTCACCACCCAGGTTCTGGGCGGCAGAGCGCAGAAATCTGCACTGTCGCGGACACCAGTTCACAAAACGTAATAGTATCGACATGTAACAAGCTTATTACGGGCCAAGCAGTTTATTAAGCATTTTATGTATATTACCTCACATGTAATAGGTACATGTCTTCCACTTACACACACACACACACACACACACACACACACACACACACACACACAACCACACATGTAAACTCACTATATGTTTTAACAAGCCTAGGAAGCAGTTACTAATATGATCCCTATTTTAAAGATGGGAAAACTGAGGCCCAAGGAACTTAAGCAACTTGCCCAAGGCAACATTTGACACAGCAGAGCTTGTTATTTTATTTTTTTAATACATATTTTATTGATTTCAGAGAGGAAGGGAGAGGGAAAGAGAGATAGAAATATCAATGATGAGAGAGAATCATTGATCAGCTGCCTCCTGCACCCCCTCTACGGGGGATTGAGCCTGCAACCCAGGCATGTGCCCTGACTGGGAATCAAACCAGGGACCCTTCAATTCGTAGGCTGATGCTCAAACCGGCTAGGGCCAGAGCTTGTTAAAGTAGAGGCCTGGTGCACGAGATTCATGCACTTGGGAGGGGGGTCCCTCAGCCCGGCCTGAGCCCTCTCGCAGTCTGGGAGCCCTTGGGGGATGTCCGACTGCCAGCTTAAGGCAGCTCCTCCATTGAGCGTCTGCCCCACCCCCCGCCCCAGTCCAAGTTCAGGGAGAGTGGCAGCCCCTTCAGCTGAGATCAGAGTTGCCATGTTCCCAGGACTGTGTTGGAGGGTGAAGGAAGGTAGGGAGTGAGGAGAGCAAGAGCGAGGGACCTCCATTGCTAGGAACTCTGGCTAATGGGCTCTGAGCTGGGGAGGTGAGAGGACTATAGGAAAAGATAGGGTCATGCTATTGCTATTAAAATAAGAGAAAGGCAGATAGCAGTGGTTAAAGCATAGGCTTGGATTAATATCTCTCCCTGACCACTTGTGGGCTGGGTGAGCCTGGCAAGTCTTCTGACCTTTCAGGGCCTCAGTTTTCTCATCTGTAAGATGGGCATGTTAGTGGTGTAGGATTGCTCTGAAATCTAAACACCTGGCACAGAGCAGGTCCTCAATCATTATTACTGTTGTCACCATCAGTAGTGGTTGTCATTGCACAGTCACTGTGTTAAGAATAGTCTCTGCTGCTGCCTCATGCACAAGACTGCCACCCCCCAGGTACTGAGAGCCAAGTTGGTGCTTTGCAAGCATTGCCTCATATGATTCCTTGCAATCCTGGTTAATACTATTACCTTTCCCAATTTAGAAGAGGGGTAGATGGAGGCTCAGAGGGGGGAGGGATTTGCCCAAGGTCCCAGATAAAACACTGGATTGCAACTGCCAAGGATTGATTCTACTACAATGAAGCTCAAGGAGGAAGTTTATCAGAAGGTGCCTTAGGTTTCTGAGGAGACATCGCCCCCTGGTGGTGCTGGCTCCAAGTTGCTCTCTAGTGAAGGGACAGGAACTGAGACGGGGAGAGGAGGAGGAGGAG